AACACATCCAAGAAAGGAGGGAGGAAGCTCTCTGCAGTATGGAAAAATAGAAACGAAGGGAAAACTAGCCGTAGCCAATCAGTTGATGTTATAAGAGGCAGCAGGTCTGACTCTTCACCATTAGTTGACAGCGGTGGCTCTGCAACGCAGCGGGGGAGTGTCTCAAGCACCCTTGACACTGGATTCTTTGGTAATTAAGGATTGTTAATTACTATTGTTTTAATGATTATGATGATGATGATAATTATAACAGTAACGATACTCCATTTTACAGTTACAAGTGCTATATTGAAAGGTAGCCAAGACTTTGCATTAAAGCAAGACTGGAGTTGAGCCTGTCATGATAGATACCTAACTTATTGATTGACAGGTGTCTGTCATGGAAAGCTTAGCTTAACATCTGTCTCGCTTCGATGCAAAGTCTCAACCTTTTTAGATTGCACTTGGGACTGTAAAATGGAGTATTAAAACAAGAGGATTTGAATTAATGGTTTGATTATTTCAATATCCACTGAGAAAACCRAGATCTTCAGAAAAGTGCAGTTTTTTTTTCTGAATCCTAAAGGTCTATCACAAATATAACATAATTCTGTAGCCAATCAAAATGTTGCATTTGTGAAACTTATTCTTGATGTGCAACCATGTGACCAAGAATCCCTTTACAAATATAAACCAAAAGGTGTTATTTGCAGCCATGTTGGATGAATTAACAGGAGAAGTTCATGTTGTTATCTTCATCGAACATCGTTGTAGTGATTATTAATTACATCAGGAGTGTGTTATAATTTTTATTATTTCCATAATATTTTGACCTAACAATCCATGCGCATGTGAACTACTTCATAAAGTACATGTTTGTCTTCTCATTTTGTGTCATGTTCAAAAACGTTGAGGATAACACACTATCTTTAACCTATTATTAAAGATATTTGTTTGTAAACTTGATAAATTTCTCCTTTAAATCCAAAACATCCAATGATTAATATCACCAAAAGTTATTAAATGTTTCATTTTGTCGTTCATAAACTCTCTAAACTCCTGTACTAATGTTAATCTCTTAATGTGATTGTAACTCATTTAAATGCAATTTAAACCATTAAAACAACTGTTTRATAAACTCAGTTCCAGGCGAAAATATGCAGTGTACCTTGGTGTACACTAAAAAACAGCTGAATACAAGCAGGATGTTCGTATCTGGTAAGTTAAAACCAAGAACTGTCAAAATACAACCTCAAGTTAACCATTTCTAAGTTGAGTTTGGTATTTTTTGTAACTTAATCATTGAATTGAACTGAGTTAATGATTATATCTAATAAATTCAAAGTATTTGATGATAAATCTTAATGGTAATAAAGCAAARCAAAAAGGCAAAGCTTGGAAATTTTATTTAATATTTGAAACAATACCTCATAAATCTAAAACTGTGTCAATTGAGAGGCTATTTGTAAGTATTTAGTTTGATTTTATTTCATGGTTTTCCTGCRTTTGCTCTAACACACACAGACATTGCTTTTAGGTTTTGTTTTGTACATCAAGAAGGTCTCAACTAAAACATTTTTGTTTTGTTTTTAAGATGAGGCTAATATATCTATATCAGAAGATGGTGAGCCGCCCACAATAACGTATGTGACTTTCATTCTTTATCATCTTGTTAGTTTTTCCCCCTTGATTTTAAAGGAAATACAATGATCTCAAAAATGTGGACTTTATGGCAAAAAGTACTATCAAATCTTTCTCTAAATTCAACTTAATTTGTGACAATGAATAGTTGAGTTTTGCGATCTCTTTTACGCTGTGTTAGCCTCAATTGTGAGCTAAAATATGCAGAAATGTAGATAAAACTTGTGAGATTTCAAACTATTTCCATTGTCTTCTATGCTCACAGATCTCTTGCATTTGCACGGGCTGTTGTGAATAAAAGAATTTATTACATGGTTTTGAGGCCAACACAGCATAAATTAAAAAGGATGCTAAAAAGGGTTTATTTTTAGTGTTCAATCAAAAGTCCTTGAAATCCTGATTTTTCTTTTCTGATAGTGGCATAATCCCTAACCCAAAAACCATAATTGCGGGTGTAAAAGTCCTTTTAACCTTCTTTAAAAACTTGGGTTTACTTCTTATACAACAAACATACGGGAAACATCTATATTTTTAAACCAAAGTCGACTTACGCAACAGTGTCACACTTTAATAAAAGTTTGTTGTACTTAACTTTAACCTAACTATTATACTATCTATTTCCAGGTTGACACAAGCGCAAAAGCATGCCATACGACTTATCCGTTTACTGAAACTTAATGTGGCTATTAGAAAATTTAAGGTACTKATTCAGAAAGAGCTCTTTATTGTAATTATTAATTTTTATATTAATCTATTATTGACTTTTTTGAGTTTATGTATGTTTGTTGAGTATCTTAGTTGTCATGTGCCATGTTTTGCAGGAAGCAAGAAAGCCRTATGATGTAAAAGATGTCATYGAGCAGTACTCTACAGGKCATGTTGAAATGTTATCTCGCATGAAGAGCTTACAGCAAAGGTATGTTCTCATCCTTGGTTGAAAACAAAGTCTTAGTTTCTAGGACCATTTTAATGGACTGCTTTCAGTCCATGTAAACCTACCAAAATTGACGGAAAATGTTKTACTTTTATGTAGAATTGATAAAGTTTCTGGAGAGAGAGACAATTCAGGTTAGTTTTCATTACTTGAGGCTTCAGTTGATAACTTTATATTTTTGTGTATAATTTGTGTTAAATGCTTCACTAAAATTTAGGAATATAAGTGAATTAGTTACCAACTAAGGAACAATTCAACTAAAAGTTGAAAAATAGATCCAAGCTCATTTATTTCTTATTTATTAGTTTATGAAATATATAAATATTGACTGGTTCTTCTTCTTTTTCAAGTATATGATGACAGCAACTTCAAATCCAATCTTTCTGCTCGTTTGATGAAAGTAGAACATCAGGTAACGCTAAGCAGTGCAGACAATAGTGTCCTTCAGGGTTACTGCGCCAAAGGTAGCAGTGCCTTTNACAGCTCTCAAGATGATGCAGGGAACCACAAAGGAGACTATTGCATGAAACGATTGCTCCTGCAATTTTCTAACTATTTCAAATGATATTCAATCATTTCTTTTCAGGTCTCAGTAATTGATCGTAAAGTTGATGTCATGCTAAATTTGTTRACACAAATGACKGGAACTGACCCAAGAGTACTGGACTCACTAACAGGGTCATCTCCACCCCCACCCCCACCRGATAATGGTCAACTAGGAATTGGATTACCAACAGTTGTCATTGGAAGTGAAAAAAACTTGGACTCACGGTCACGAAGTGAAAGCTTTCCTAGCACACATGGTTTGTGTGATAATGTACCMCCCTGGAACCCTAAACATTCGCAGTCKGATCCTGTGCTTAAATTTGAAGGGATGTCWGACTTACGAGTACAGGGTCCAAGGACTCCGTCTCTAAGCAGCGAAGATTCACATGAGAGTARGGATATGGACTGTTTAAATGCTCCTGGAATGAGTACGGTATCTCCGAATCGTATTCTAGGAGCTCACGGAAGACAATTATCTGACGTAACTGAAGGTGATGAAAGTGTTTCTTCAGATTCTAAAGAAAATGCTCTTGACAATAAATTTTCACGCGAAAGTACTCTTGATTCAATTGAGGATGCAAAAGAACCATGCAGTCCTACTGAAGATGTTGATATTCCAATGTACGATCCTTTAATAAACCCATATATACCTGATCAAATAAGCACTACTCCACCAAAAGACTCCCTTGATGTTTGGGAGAAGAAACCAGATGAAGCAACGAGACCACGGCCTAGGAGCTACAAGCATTCTAGCACCAGTTCCTTTGGGACTTTAGTAGGTTCAATGGAAAATGAAGGGAATTCGTCAGTTGAGGTCTTCACAGAGGGTTCAATCGACAAAGAAGACAGTCAACCTACTTTGAAAGCAAGAGATCTTTCTGAAGTGGACAGTGGATCAATGGATTCGGATCAAACAGTTGTTTCTGCWGACGATGTCAGGKCAAAACGTAAAGCGCTAAGGAGGTGTACTCCTATTGAAGTCTAAATACAAGGAAGAATGTAAGTGGTTGGCTAATGTCTCCTTCACAAATCACTGAGGTGGTTAGAAGAATTGAGAAATTGATAGTTAATATGGTTTCTTGATCTGTTTTGTCATTGAAAGAAAGAGTTTGAAAACAATTCAGATTAAGTAACTATCCTTGCATTATTGACAGCTGTCAGTTATAATTATTGGTCCAAAACAAAAATGATATTTCAAGAATGGTGATTTTGAAATACTAATTTGTTATTTATTGCAACAGGTTCATACAATTAATGAATTAATGAAATTACAAAGAGTTAAAGACAACTCAAAGCCAAAAAAACATGATTTTTATGTACAAAGAGAAAATGCAGTCATTTGAAAAGATTTTGACCACTAACATGATTGTATTTAATTTACATTGTACAGTTTATGTGATTTTTTCTATGTTCTCTATCAACAACATCACAAATCCACCAAGCTAGTTGAAATTATGCTTAATGTGAGGATTATTTAAATATATTCCACAGTTTTACAAACTTAAAAAAAAGTCTTAATTTTCAAGTATCTACTGCCCTTTTGTTGATATTGAATATACAATGTATCTATATATGTTAGTGATTAGAAGTTCTTCAAATGACTGTATTACCTTTATTATTAGATGTAGCAAATATGCTACCTTTTACCATATAGCTTCTAGGGACATTTTTAGAAAAGTCCTTGGAAAAGTACCATTACAAATATGTCCCTACCTGGATGTACACTTCAAGATGTACCTGTGGGGGGATATACAATTATCATATTCTCAGAAGTTGTCAATAGATAAGGTATAACTTCTTCCAATACTCCAGTTTTGAGATCTTATTTAATTTTTGTGCAGTCTTAACCTCGAAAGCATGTAAATGTATTCTTTTATTCGGCAAAGAATGTATTGTAATGCAAAAACTCTGTGTACAAACAAGACAATAAACAATTTATGCTTGATTGAAGCTAAGCTTGCACAAAAGAGAATTCGAAACTGGAGTATTTTTTGTAGTTCTGTCACAATATTATATAAAATTATTTAGTATTTTGTAGAATAGAATTCTTTAAAAGGCATGTAGATTTATATTACTAGACAAAGGTCGAGATATTTATGCTATTGTTATTGGAGTGGACGCTATAAATCCATGAAACAAATGTTACTAATTACTACTAGTGGTTATTAGACAATTCAAGACAAAGAAATTAGCATAGTTTGCATCTATTTTGTACTATAATTGTTGTTTCACAGATTTAGAGAGTTCACTCTGGAATATATTTGCTTGTAGGATGTAGAATTTTTCATTTATTATTATTTTTAAAATAAGAAGAACTAAAGTGTTGTGGAATATAAGCTAACTCRGAGTCTCCTGATATTGCTACATGCTTCAGGATAAACATTTCAATAACTAAAAGAGCTGAATTCATATAGGGGGATGAATCAATGATTATTAATTTATTGACTCAGATTTATTTTTATTCAGTTTTATCCGGATGCATGCATCAATTTTAAAAGCAGATAAAAGATAATTTACAAGTCTTAATTTAAACATTTTTTAACTTATAAACTTATGTTTTTCCACGATATTCCTTTTCGTGGAATCTGMCATTGACATAGAATTCTTTAAAATGTTGACTTGACTWTTGCTTTTGTAGGCTGCATGTATAAAATCATTTGGCAGTGAACATAGTACATCTCAGTACTTCTTCATAAGTTCCTCTTGTCCACTTGAAAGGCAGCCACATACTTACATCAAGGTGACACCAGCCTAAGTTTCAAAAATTTGTTGTACTTTGATTGTAATAGTATGGCTTTCTTTCAAGATGAAGGTGAGATCTGGAAAAGAAGTATTTTCGCTTTATTAGCGACCATTATGTTCACTTTTAAACAATGTTTTTTAAGTTCTTTAACTGAGTATTTAATTTCCTATCCCTGGAGTCCAACCCTTTCCAGCTTTCAGGAAAGATTGTGGTCATTGCAATGAGTAGAGATTATCAAATAGTATACTTACAAAGAGTATTGTTGAGAAGTAGAATAGATTATATAGCTATTTCAAAAAGGTGATTGTCAAAAGGCTATTGCACGACTGAAAGTAGACATGGGTTTCGCTTGGTGAAATGAAATAACAACTTTCAGTGATTTGCAGTGTAAGATGGTCTGTGGTAAACATTAAGTCTATGTAGGTGAATAGGTTAAATTTTGTTTATCAAAACAGTGTAACCATAGTCCCTTTCGGTCGTGCATTCTCCCTTCGACAATTGCTGTTTGCCATTCTCCCCGACAACATTTTTTATAGCTGTATACTTTAGTTAATCAAATTTCATGGTCTTTTGGCAAGATAAGTGTATTTAGCTGTTCTCTGGTCCATCTTAAGCAGTGACCTACATAGAGGCCGTCTTACACAAGAATCCCAAAAGAGGGCAGCTATACAGGCTAAAATTGACTGTGCATTGTTTAACCTGTGCAACAAAGTAAGAAGAAATACACTACAGTGAGATTGCAGAAACTTTATGATAAAAAAGATTAAATCTGACATATTTTCATCTTTGTTTTCTAAAGAAATGTTTTGGAACTGAATTAAATTTCTGCATTATCGCACCTAGCTAAATCTCACTGATCTTTTCAATGCAAAAGCAGTGCTACCTTTCAAGATCGCAAAGGAAACTGCATTGAACATGACTTGCCAATTTCCTTCTTACTAAAGTTGAGCTTACTGTTATTATAGTGAGGTACTTTAACCTGCAAATTAAATGACTTTGAATTTGTGGGTGGAATTGATATTCCCTTGTTAATATTAGAGTAAAGTGAGGACGAAACAGTTGGGTTGTTTGGGTTTCCTGTGCTGTCCTGACACAGGAGGCCCAAATTTGAAACGAGTTTTAGAGTTCATCAGTTTGTGGACTTCACTCTACCATAAGTTAATGAAACTATAAAAATTATACTGGATATAATTTTTAGCTATTTAATTTTGTATATCAATATAAGGTGTAATTGTTGAAATAATAACTTTGACATGGCTAAAACAATAGCAGAAAAAAAAATTGATCAGAAAAAAATATTTGCTGATGTATCAAATAACAATATAGTTATTTTCAAGTTGAATTGAGAATAAAATATCTTTGCTTGCAAGTTGAGAGGTATTGTGGGGACATGGGGGGTGCGGTGTAAATTTTTTGTTGGGCATCCCCCCCCTGAAAATGGTTAAAATTCACGCATGAGGACACAAAAAGTTTGTCTTAAGACTTAGTTTCATGATTTTGTTTGTAAAGAAAGACTATACACCTCTATACAAAAAGAAGCTAAGGGAAAAATATTAATAAAAAAAGAACTGGGGAGGGGAGGGGAGAATTCCTTTATCAAACCCGCGCGCCACGCATGCGCATTTGAAGTTTTCCTGGCCGGTTTCTACAATGTCTGATAATTCAAAAATATTCTTGTTATAAGTAGTTGTTTTCGTTTCTTTTAATCTAAAAAATAACCATGGAATCTAAAGACCTTTTAAGTACTCTTAGACGATTTGATGCCTATCCAAAGACACTAGAAGATTTTAGAATCAAGACATTCGGAGGGGCTGCAGGTTTGTTTGTCAGTTCGAWGCGCGTTCGACAGAATTTCTCGATATATTTGTTAAATTTGTTTCCTTGTAAGAAGTAGCCAAAGCTTAATTAGGCTGTATATTATAGTAAGATCATAGGCAGAGYTTAATTAAGCATTTTATGCCGATATATCTATATTTTTAATGTGAA